AGAAAAGAAACATCATCAGATGTCGCACTGTGACATCTTTTTTTCTCTCTGCTGAAAATTTGAATGTTTCAGAAATATGATATTAAATTAGAATTAAACTCACATCATATAGATGGCTACATTCTTCTAAATAGTTCTGATGGTGCCTGGATAGGTATGCAAGTCTTTGGGTCTCTTGAAGTACAAAGCAAGAAAGAGTATATTATGTTCATTAGATTAATAATTTTAAATGAAAACATTGTTTTGATCTAATTAAATATCAGATGAATATTGTAAGCATAAAACAATGCTATTCCATTACTTTAGCAATACGACATTGTGAATGACCTAAAATAATTAAATTTTACATATTAATTTGATGGTTTCCTTTTTTAATACAAAAAGTATACCTGTCAAACAGTATTTAAATATTTTTAATAATATTTTAAAAGAATATGCATGAAATTATTTGTAATCATAGTGGAATACTCAAACATGCTTTCTGATGCTTTATAGGAGTATGGTGTATCACTGTTCTCATATTAGCAGAGTTTTAACACTTCAGTGTCTTTATATCCTGTGATTTTCTTGTGCATTATAAATTATCATAATATAGTGAATTAAATAAAATGTGCCGAGTGAGAGCCAGCACTTTTCTGAAGTCATTCATATCGATGTCTGAAGACATGAAGAGATGTAAACCGTGGGCTGGGGTTCCTTTTCAAAGATCAACTTGACGGAGTGGGAGATTTTATGGTAAGCAAAGATGAGAACAGCTAAAATTGCTTGGTTTAGGCCTTTTTCCTGTATTCGTGCTGTTTTCAGAATTCTTGTAAACTATGGAGATTCCCGAAATATGAAAACTGTTTAACCTGACTGGTTTAATTATTACACAGCTTGGACCAAAATCAGCTATGGCTCAAGGAGCTCTAATTCCACTGAATTTGATCTCTTGCATGAGGACATCACCACACTACTATATTTGGAAGAGCACAAACTTCTCCCTACAGGCATTAAAGAAATCTGCCTAAGGCCAAAACTGACATCATTAACATGTTATTTCCACTTAAAGATGCTAGCCAAGATATTGTCACTGATTCTGGGCATCTCCCAACCATAAATGCAGTTTTCCCTCCATATACCTCTGAACGAAGTTCAGTCACCTTCATCTTACGTATAAGGAAGGGACATAGCAATTCTCAACCCTTGCCCAGGGCTTACGGGTAGCTCGTAGTATAGTGGAACTAAAACAAGGTCTTACTAGTCCTGAGCTAGAAACTTACTCTTAAATTATCCTGGCTAAGTTCAAACAAATCTTAATTAAATGTACGATATTTGCCCTAAATCCATTCTGAAACCATCACCATGTTCTGCAGTAATTTATGGTGCCCTTCTTCAGGCATTAAGTACTCTTCACCCCGCTGTGAAGAAGCGTGGCTGTGTCGGAGCAGAAGGTGTTGGGTACTGGATGATGGGGGTTGGCATGGGAGCCCCCACGCTTGCTGCAGAGTCCCAGCATGGGGAACCCCCAGGCTTCATCCGCCTTCAGATGGGATTTCCCCTTTGAAACTCAGCCTTGACCCTCCCAGCTCCAGTACTTTTCATTGGCTTCCCCAAGAGAGTTGGGTGGTCGTGTCTCCCTGGGGATTTACCATGAACAACACATGTACGTGATACTGCAGCGGGTTTGCAGCTTTGTGTCAAATGAGCAGATGGCCCGTGATGGGGATCGTGCCACTGCTCATCTGGTAAGTAGAGGCCTTGTCTACGCTGCAAAGGTTTTGCCTGGAGAGTTTTATCAGCAAAAACCAGTCCAAATCTGGAACCACATACAGAGCAATCTATACTGGCAAACATACACATGTATGGAAAACATTTCAGCAGCAGAACTTAATCTACGTTAGCATGCTGGTTATGAGATGTGATTTTTCTCTCTTGCTTGCAACCATTACAGTTAGGCTGACACTTTCTAAGGATTGAGTGAAGCCTTATGAACAACCAAAACCATGGCTTAAATTTCTTCTGAAAATTATATCAAGAGGCTTTCTTTTCAAAACAGGCCACCTAATCTTTTTTCCTTCATATTCCCTCCTCCAACTCGTATGGTTAATGAGAAGCTGTTCCTGGAGTTAACGTGGTAGCAATACCACAACACACCTGCTGTTAGGAACTGTAATAATACAACATGAACCTGATGGTGTTCCAGGACATCCCTTTGTACAGTATTTTTGTACTGAAAGGGCACTTACTGGCAGAGGCGTATGTGTATGTTTTTAAGAATGACTATTTGTTTGCGGCCCCTTGTGTTTGTTGTGCCGACATATCTGCCAGTGGTGCAACCCTCTTTACACAAACCCCCGTCGGGTGAGTCATAGTCCCTGGATCACGGCTCTTCAGAGCTGAATGTGCCCCCTGAGGTGGTCCTAGGGTGAGGGAACAGAACTTCTTGGGTCACAGTGAACTACAGTGTTTACTAAATTAAATTTAAAAAAAACAGTTGATTTAGAAATGTCCTTTTAAACAACTAGTGGTGTAATAGTGTCATACTATGAAAAGAATGCTGTAAACTTAAATGTTATCTCTGGTGAGACGAACATCCTCATTTCTTGTTTGTACCGGTAACATATATTACTTCAAAGGTTTCTCATAAATGAGAATTAATGTTATCTTCATGTTCTGAGGGCAAGCAAGTTCTTAAACATTAATGAGTGGGGCTGTTCACTTTGGCCTTAAAACTGCACTGAAAGCACGTGCAACTTACTAGTCACCTTCTTCTAAGTAGCAATTTATAAAAAATTGCATAGTTTGCTATTTGCAGAATTGCAGCTGTAGCTGGCATGGAAGAATACATCAAGCAGTTGCATATAACAACAACAAAAAAAAGAGTAAAGCGAATATCCTAATTAATATTGCTGTCATGATTTTTTGAAGTTCTGGGACTAAATTTCACCTTAGACTAAATCTTCTAAAAAAAATGAAATTATTAGATCAATTTGTCCTCTGATTTTCTAACGCATTACAAGGACACCAGGAAATAAGCTGAAATTATAGATTTCTGAGGGGAATGTTTACCTGTAAAAAAATGAGAACAACTACAGGGCCAGGGTGAAGGCTAATAATAATAGTAATAAACAGCACATAAGAGCGAAGCTTTCTTACAAAATATAAATGGAGAAATTTTTTTATTGGAGTGCTACAAGCATCTGTATTTCAAATTTGCTTTCCTTTAAAAAGGCAGTAAAAATAAGCCTGATTTCTTTCAACAGACAATAGAAAGGAAGCGACTGTATCATGATACTTTATATGTTGTCAGACATTAGCCCCTAAACCACTTCCACACATCAAATCCACCAGTCAGTCAACCACCCAGTCACAAGGCACACATTACTCTGTGTGTAAACTTAAAAAAAAAAAAAACAAAACCTGTTTGAAATCCCTTGCCCCCAGTATCTCCGTTTAAACCTCGTGTAACTTCAGTCTAACCTCACCAGCCCAGGAGGACACAACAGACTTGCCCTGTTTTCATACACTGCCCCATGGAGTTTGCACCCTAGGTTGCAATTTAAGCAAGGACAGACGATGCTCCTGCTCCTTGAGTTGCCGTGCTGACCTTACCCAGAGGCTCCAAAACCCAGCAGGAATCTCCAGCATCACCGGAGGAACTACTGAAATAGGTCCTCATGTTAAACATGAAACCTGGCTGACTTGGCTTGAAAGCGGGCTGGCAATGCTCCCTGCCATTGACGGCACAGGGTAATGGACATCTCTCCCCCACCTCTGCCCCAGACCAGGAACTGGGGATCGAAGCCACTTGGAGCACATTTCTAGCTATCACTGTATCTCAAATAACTAAATATAAACCACCAGTGCAGTCACCAGAAATGATCCATCAGCTCCAGAAAAGAGAAGAGATGGTCATTATGTCAAGCAGGCAATTCGCATGCCAGAAATAATCCCAAGCTAATGCCATCCTGTGGCTAATAAAGAGGACAGGTTTGAAGCAGCAGATGCTGCACTGGATTATTTTTAGCCCAAATCAGTTTGCAAACTGTTCACAGCTCAGGCACCCAGACAGACGCAGCAAGTGGCTGGTGGGGTGGTAAGGAAGAGCAACACGATGGTGGGACTGTAAAAGATGTGCTCACCAAATCCCCGCTTTAGGCTTGGGAGGACAAGACTTCCTGAATTTAAGAGCAGATGAGTATATGTGAAGAAAGTAGGTGCCTATTTGCTATTTGCACATATGCATTTGCTTATTCTGCTTATAAAGGCAAATGAAAAATCAGCTGCAGTATCAGGGTACGTTTGGAAAAGGAGTACAGCCTCTGCCCTCTTGCAACGTACACCTTGCCATGCGGTGCAGGGGTTGCCAGCTTGTTCACGCACAATTTCAGTCTCCATCAAAAGGTGGTCCTGTGGACGTAACCTAAAGATACTTTTTCCAGAAGACAGTTACCAGGTATAGCAGCTAGCATCCCACATCACCCTGTTTTCTTCTGTTTAGACATTGCATTTCGGTCCTGGGGACTACTTCCCCACATCCCCCTCATTTTGTGTGGTTCTCTGAACAGTCTTTATCCTTCAGAACTCACGAAGGAAACAGCACTTTTTAAGCTGTAGCTGTACGACCCAAAACAGTTGCAAAGGCCAAGGATTTCTACAAAATCGGTCCGACCAGAGCGTAGTCAGTCCGTCAGCGTGGGGGAACCATTGCAGAGATGTCACTTACTCCCTCAGCACTCTGGGGCCGGCTGAGGACACCACCAGCTGCCCTTCAGAAAGCAGAATATTGCGCTCTTCTGGTCGCTTCCCGTCACTGCAGCCCTCTCGCCGCGGGGGACGGTGCTTTTGG